CAACGTGACGGAATAATGTGTGTATAGGTAATGAGTTATTGAACTGCGGTCAGAGAGAGACGTATTGTTGAAGTTAACGTCGTTATTATAGTTTTTTATAGCGCGACTCTTTAAGTTGAGTGTATCTTAAAGTTATATTCGGAAAGAATAAACCAGTTTTATTAAGTAAGGACTTGTGTCGCTAAAGTTTCGTCGGAACGAAGTTACGGAAAGTTAATTAACAAACGGAGACGTAACAATATACATAAGTATTGGTTAAGTCAAGTGAGCTAGATTAGCAGTTTCTAGCTCAAGTTAGTTCAAAAGAATCATAAGGGTGGACGGTCATTATTCATTGCCAAGTTTTAAGCACATATTTTATGAAACTCTCTGAGTTAAAGACCGTTTAGCATCACGTGATATTAGCTTAAGCAATACGCATAAATAATGATGTTTGATTCGGCTCTACCGAGTGTATGCAGGTGATGACAAGAAACTGTTAATCTAGATTCCATGGCATTACTGTAAAGAAAGTTATTAACACTGTTTTAAAGAATCTAGTTGATTCTGTAAAGTATAGGTCTGTTCCAAATACTACAGTTGCAATCCTAAAACTAACGTTAATTACTATCGACTGTCACTTTCTTACTTGCTGTGGTTTGTTGGTGTGTATTGACAAAAAATCATAATATCTCATGAAAAACACCTTAGGTGTGAAAAAAAGGTGCGACTAAAAAAGGATTTAAAGTGCGAGTTAAAGAAATGAAATTAAAATTGGCGGCCAAACTGGTAGCTACACTTATAGCATTAATATAAATTTTACAGCCAATTTTCATTCATTAGTTAGTTAGGGCGCATATTTTGTTTTACCCACCATCACCACAAAAAAACGCGACCAGGCAAAATAAATGTTGTCTCTACAGAATGAAAAAAGTAAAAGAAATTCAAAACAAAATCAGCTTAACGGCTTTCTTGACCACGTGCTTTGCGGAAACAGCATAGATTTATGAAAAGGAAAAAAAAAGAAGAGAAAATGCTATATTAAAATAAGAAAATAAAAACTCATGGTATGTTTATTTTAACATCATATTCAACTATGTAATGATTTTAAAAATTATAGAAGATGGCATGCAAGGTAAACATATTTGTGAAAATCATAATTACTACATTACAGTTTTTCAATTATTTGTAACTACAATCTTTTCGTTGATTTTTCAAGTTTTGATTTAGTGCCACTTTCTGTGATATGTTGAAGGAAAAATAAAGTAGCATTAGTAAAACTAGTTTAGTGTTTATGTATTATTCGTTAAGCTTACTTCGTTCGAGAGTATATGTTAAAAACGGTGTACGGCGAAAGAAACGTGGACGCTCAAATTAGTTGAAATTTAAACATCGTTATACTTTTAGTTTTACTGTTCTTGTTATTATTCAAGTAATCTTTCTCTAAAACGTATTGTCGAAAAGATCCACCCTAATCCAGCAGGTATTTATTTGTTTGTGTGCGTATGTAGAATAAATAACATGAACAAAGGTTTTAAATTTAATAATATTACTAATTATTATTAATATCAAGAAAAGTGCATTAACTGTAATAGTATTAGTAATGTTAATGGAACTTGGTAGTAACACTACTGTACTACTAATACTATTGCTAATAGTAATAGTAGTGGTACTACTACTACTATTTTAGCATTTAAGTTTTACTTTTAAGAGTTAGACTTAGAGGCTGAAATGAAGAGTGACTTTTGAAGTATGAAACTGGCAGAAGAAAGTAATAAAGGAGAGAAAAATATAATAGTCTGATACTCCAGTGTTTTCTTATAGTTATAGATAGTATAGTAACTTGGTGGTACCCATAATTTGTTCACTCCATGAATTTGCAAAATCTTTGTAGATCTAACTAACTTTCAGTAACATGTTTACAGACTATTAGGACTAGGAGTAGATAGGCCTATAGTAGTGTTTCCTAATTTAGCTTTTATAAGAAGTTTTGAAGTGAAAGTTATTAAGCACACTTATTTTAAAATGAACTAAGAACTTAAAGAAGGAAACAGCACTTACTTTTCATCTAAGCCCTTTTAACATGTACAGATTATAACTCATAAAAAGTAAATTTCTCCCAATACTTTTCTTCCCTCTTCTTTTTTCTTTTCTTTTACTAAATGTTTCTGCAGACCATCAGTTGTGCAAAACTATACTTATATTAAGTTATGGCATCAAATATGTTGCAATGGCAAATAACATCTTTTACATGAAAACCATGAGACTAAGATGAGCATTTCATACTTGAATGTTTCTGAAAATAAAATTCATAACTCTTTTGCAGCATAATTTAGCACAAATTGCATTTGTTTTTTTAAATGTTTTAGGAATATTTTTAATGCAGTTTAAAATACCATGCTATGCTTTGTACATTGCTGCACATGAAATGGCATTATTTCAACAGAAAAAAAAAGTGTATTAGAAGAAATTTCATGAAAAGATTTAAAGACTGGTTTTATAAGGTGAATAATAATTGATAAAAACATCAGGGAAATGTTGAAAAAAATGTTAAATTTATTTTCCTTGTGAACACAGTTCACAAGTGTGGAGTGTTTGTTTTTAATATCTTGGCTTTTCTGCTGTGGCCTTTATGATTGATGTCAGTGTAGATGAGCAATGTGAATGTAAGAGAGACTGGTTATAAATTTTATGTTATACCTCACTATAGTATAACTTTGAGAATGTAATATTATTTTACCGCATTTTTTCAAGGAATTTTTTACCAAACTAAACCAATAAAACGGTGTGGAAGAAAATAAAAACTTTGCCTTAACATGCTTGTTAAATTCGATGACGAGGAACCCACTTTGAGACTAATAATGGCTGGAGACGGCTTAAATGTACCTGATGATGACAAAACCTTGTACGAAACGTTG